ACAAGAGAAAAATATTAATATCTATCACAATAAGATATAAAATATGTCCGATTAATTTTACTATATACATAATAATATTTTTTATTGTGGTAAATATTTAATCAGAGAATCTCTTATAAAATTCTTCCAATACCATACTAAAACAAAAAATTATTAAATTAATAAATATTTATTTCAATGCTGCCAAATTATTTGAAACAAATTAATATTTATCTGAAAATGATTTTCTTATATCAAGTAAGTATTTTTTCGCATCAAATCAATATTATTAGTTTCAAATAAATGATTTATAAAGCAGTAAGTATTGAAATAAATATTTATTCAAATTCAATGAGAATTCTTTTTCAGTGCATAATGTCCCACAATTACTATGATTTTCAGGGTAAATTCTAAGACAAAAATTCTCTCTGAGTATAGATTATTCTATAGTTTGATTCATATCAAATTATATAAATTGAATTGGCCTTCCTTTTTACATTTGTCATTTCTGCATTTGCGTTTATTATCTATGTGCGTATTTGTCGTAAATTGCATCTTAATATATGTATATACAGTTAGCAATTGATTCTCATTTGCTAAATAATTGCGGAAAAAGATGTGCTTTGACCGGTAAGACTTTCTCTGTTCGTTAATTCCGTCAATTCCAAAGACGAAAGGCCCTTTGAAAGAAAACCCACGACTTTCACTTATGTATGCGATTCAGTTTCAAACATTTGAATAAAAATTAAAATCAAATTAACGTCACGCACTCGCGCGATGCAATCATGCGAAAACCATCACAAGATAGCAATCATTAAAGCCGCATTTAAAAACGAAAAAAATCTTCACTAAGAAAATTTAACAATATAATCATTAAAATCAATAAAATCGATGAAATTTATTATATACTCAAGTTTCAATGAAAATATCCAAATTACGAAGAATAATAGCGTAATTTCTTCTTTGTAAAAATGAAATAAACAAGAAGTGAAAGATTTCTACGCAAAAAATTTCTATGCAAAATCTTGATGATCGCATAAGATGAGCTTGATTAAACGATCAAATTATATAAGATCAGTAATATTGGACAAAATCTTTGAATCATCCGAATTCAAACATTCAAGTGGCTAATTAACCGGATCGTCACTTACCCAATTAATTTTTAACGCAAAGTACGCGTTGCAATATATATATGCGGATCGACTGCATTCAGCTGCATTCGCAACTTAAAATGCAATACGACCGACGAAAATAAGTCCTTATGCGCTTGCATTAAAAAATTCAACCAATCAATTTTTATTATAGGTATATTAAAAATCAAAATATTGTATGGAGAGAACTCTCTTTGAAATTATCTTGAAAATCATGGTAACGTAAGACAATATGGTATTGCAAGAATTTTATAAAATTTTCTCTGATTAATATTTACCATATTAAAAAATATTAATATGGACGCGTAGTAAATTTTACTATGTACATTGTAAAATTAATCGAACATATTTTATATCTTATTGCGGTAGATATTAATACTTTTATTTGATAAAAATATATATATATATATTAATTAGAGAAATTCTAATAAAATTCTTCCAATATATCATATTGTCCCATGATTATGATTTTCAAAGTAAATTCTAAAAGAAAATTCTCTTTGTGTACGCAATTATAATTCATTTTGCATTTAAACAATAATCATTGAAAATATTTATATTAAAAATAAATGACGTGTGACGATAACACACTTGACGTATTGATATATAAGTATATCGATATTTAGCGCGAACACGTTTTGTTATTTAATGAGATAGACAATCAATCGGAGAACACGAATATTCTCTGATGCCAGAAATACTCTTAATTATTACTCTTATCGACAATATCGTTTATTATCGTAAAAACGCGCAAATGCGTAAACAAAACAGTAACGAAATTAAGGAAATGTTACGATTATGCTCCAAATATTTTTAAATTCAGTTTTTTATGCTTTTCTCAAATAAATATCTATCAAAGAGAATTATTTTTAATTAATATGAAATTTTATTTTGCTGCTGAAAAGTATGTTTGAAAAGAGATCTTCAAACATATTTTTCAATAGCAAAATAAAATTTCTTATTTATTAAAAATATTGATCAAAGAACAAAATTGCAGATTATTATCTTCTATTAATCTTATCTTATTTATTTTCTGATTTTATAAGAAGTGCAACTAAAGTCCATATTTTTAATCAATATAAAATTTTATTTTGCTGCTGAAAAGTATGTTTAAAGAGGAATCTTCAAATATATTTTTCAGTAGCAAAATAAAATTTCTTATTGATTAAAAATATTGAACAAAGATTAAAATTGCAGATTATTATCTTCTATTAATCCTATCTTATTTTATCTTTTGATTTATTTTACCTTATTTTATCTTTTGATTTAATAAGAACTTATTTTATCTTTTGATTTAATAAAAAGTGCAACTAAAGTTCATTTTGTTTGGAATATATAAGCATTGTTCAGTTCTCAAAATTATATAAATTTAAAAAAACATAAAACTATATTGCGAAAACAAACACTTTTCAGAGTTTTAAAAAATAATTATTTAAATCGCTTTAAAATACATTTTAGTTTACAAAATTCTAAGATTAATTTGTGTACTAAATACATTATAAAATATATAATATTTTTAGAAAATTTATTTAACAGTATATAGTATTTCCAAAAATATTACGAGTTTTGTAAAGCGCTCGACACAAATCACCCTTAGAATCTCTGAATAATTTCATATTTCAAAGTGATTAAAATTTCGAATAGATTATTATTTTTAATGTTCAAAGAAATGATCATTTTTGCTGGAAACTGCATGTGTGGAACGATTTACTAGTGAAAATGGTAGCGATCTAATACTCGGTGGCCGGATTCCGTGCCGCGAGTCGTAAATTAATCCTATTGAAAGCCATTAGGCGTTTTATTACGGTCTGTATTGTACGTCAATTTGAAAATGTACATTAAAATCGTCGTAGACTGACTAACTGTCGGGGAAGTCAGTCGTATCTGTAATTCGTGCGGATTCATTAAATCGTTAAGATAGATACTATATTTATAAGAATATTAGTACTTATACAATAACTATATGAAATTAAATTGATATACAATATATAAAAAAAAATTAAAATTAAAAATAGTTTGTAACTTTGCAAAAAATATCATACTTTAATACTCATTAAAAATATAAATATTTATTTTTAATTTAGAAGAAAGCATACGCAAATATCTTCCTTCTTTAATTTTTATTTGGATATTTTTAAGAATTATTTAAAACATGTATTTTTTTATAAATATTCAATTGCCGGTTAAACAAAATAATCATCGGAATCTAATTCTATATATTTGTTTTTGTACAAATATTGCTGAAATTATAAGATATATGAGAAAAAAATTGTAATATTAGTTGTAACATTTAATGAATTTAATAATCATGCTTTTCAAATTTTTGGAAATTTTGCAAAACAAACATACAATAGTTCTAGTATTACATCTACAAACTTCAAAAAATTTTTTAATAAGAAATAAAAATTTTAATATTTTTTTGCAAAATTATATTTTTGTAGTAAATTTGCTACAAAACACAATAAGCATTTATATCCCTAAATCTAATAGCTTTCTTTTCACTTTGCGATGTAAAAAAGTTACACATATGTTGATTACATATATATATGTATAATACTTGTAGTGCACTCCTTAATGAAAATGTCAAAAGTTACAAAATAATAAAAATAAGAATTGTTTAAAATAAGTCAAAGAAGACACTTGCTTAATATTTTCTTGTTAAAATATCTGTTTGAAAATAATAATATAACGCATCAGTATTCTCCAGTGGTATTTGTAAATACAATTTTGAATAAATGAGAGTAATTCTATAAACTCTCTCTTAAATATGTTATATAAATATACTTAATCATTGTTGAAAAAATATATATATGTATACATACATATATATGTGTATGTATATTTATGTAATTTATGTTCATATATGTACATATATTGTTAGAACTGGCACACATATGTTAAGAAGAAACTTTTGTTTACTTCAATAATACTATTAATATATCTCATTTCTTTTACAATAGAAAATAATTTATAACTTCTCATATATTTTATTAATGCTCGCACTAGTTTTAATATCCACATTCTTTCATGAAACGAAAATTCGTTTCTAAATTTCTACTTCATAATATTTACTTCATATTATCTTTTAGACTGAATTATCATCAAAATATAAATCATAGTATACAAGTATACATCACAGTATCTAAAATATAAAACTAAATGCAATAAAAATAATTAAAAAAACCGACATAAATATACCGGGAGCATCTTCAGAGAAGTTACATACGTAAAAATCGCGGCATAACCTTACAACGCGATAAAATATGATTGAAGGTGATACAATGATAACTGACCTTCTCGAAAACTTAAACAGCTTTCTCTCGATTCGTAACTTGAAGCTGGCGAACTTTTTCCCGAATAATTCTTCTGGAACTACGCCATTACGCGCAATCCATCTGCTGAATCTCACGAAGGACAATTACAAGTGTCTCGTTCGAACTTGTATACAAGTGAAATCGGAGATGCCTTCAGGTTCAGCCGTATTGTTTTCTTTTTTTTTTTTACCGAAAAAATAATTGACACACAAATTCAACAAGAGAAAAATTAAGCGCACGGAGAAGCGTATACCTCTTCTATAAATATAAGTATATTTATTTAGAAATATTCCTGTTGAACGAAAAAATTCGTTGCTTTGTCAGGAACACGTTTTATTTACCGCCGTCGAGTGCTGCGTAGTTTTTCCGAGTTTTTCGTATCGTAAAGGCGAAGCTACATGTGTCAGGGAACAGTTTGTTGTACGCGCCTGATTGGCTGTCAACTAGGGGAATTTCTCGGGCCTCGGTTCTCGACCAATCAAAATTCTCGACGAACGCGACTGGATTCTAAACACACCGAATCTGGAAAAGACGAACGAACCTCCGCAAATTGATTGCGCGTGCGCAAACAAAAACCGAGGAGACGTGAAAAAACATGGCCGCAATGGCTGCTGTGTCTGTTGTTTGACTGGATTCCAGATGATTCTGAAGATGATTGCCCCCGTTGTTTTGTGACGAACGAAATCTGATTCCGGGTCGATCGTGGCTAGTCGAGATGGAGCTGGGTATTTCGAATACGTTGCTGGCAGGTGATACGCGTTTGATCGATCATATAGTGGGCGAAGTTAAATCCCAAGGCATTTTTGATCAGTTTCGGAAAGAATGCATCGCTGATGTTGATACCAAGGTGAGGCAACGTGACAGCGTTCTTTAACGAGTTTGATTCTTCCGCCTGATTTTTTTGACAGGGATTAAATATTTAATATGTAGCTATTAATGTTTAAGGATACACTGCTGCAATGTAGATCCTAATTATTGATAAATATTTTGCCGACGAGAAAAGAATATTATAGTGTATATATATATAGTGTAGCATTTTGTGTTACAAATTTTTAATGTTGATCATTAATCGTTTTTTGATGAAATGTTGATTTTTAGAAGCTTAACATTATGTGCTCATTTTAGAGCAGATTGCAATAGATGCAATTTTAGAAACTATGACATATAAATAATATATAATGATATATATGTAATTTCAGCCAGCGTATCAAAATTTGAGGACAAGAGTTGAGGGCTCTGTAAACTCTTTTCTTACTAAACAAATGTGGAAACCAGATTTGAACAAAAATCAGCTCAGAGAAACTTTGCGCAAGCATATACACGATGCCCCATATTTGGATGCTGGTGTAGAACGGATAGTGGATCAAGTGGTAAATCCTAAAGTTTATTCAGTTTTTATGACTCACATAGAAGATGTGGTATATAAATTTTGGGTGTAGAAAGACCAAAGGTGAAAGAAAAAAATGGTGCTTGTGGTCTTAAAGATTTATTACCTAAAGATTTGGATCCAGTTTCACCAGAATCTGATAAGAATAGTTTAAAGGATGTATCCCTGGAATCAATAGATGCAAGTGATGCAAATGATGTCGATGGGAAGCAATTTGACAAAGCCAATGAACAACAGTTGCAAGATGAAGAGATATATAGAGAGAAAATTAAAACTAGTCCTGAAAATGGACATATCTCCTCGGAAGAGAAAACATTGGATGAAACTTGTAAAAGTCTGAATAAAACTAGTAGTAGCCTGAATTTAAACACATCTGGGAAATCAGATGACAGGATAGAAGATGAAGACGAAGAAGTTAGTCCAACATTTGAACCAATAGATATTATGAACTTGAATGAATCCAATATTTCCAATGATTCACACCTATCGGGAATATCAGAATTAACGAGTCATAGATCAAGGAGCCCTGATTTTTCGAACGAATTATCGCGGGATAACTTTGATTGTAGCAATCAGGATTCTCAGCTTAGTAAAGTTTCCTCAGATTCTCGATTATCAATTGTAACAGACTTTGGTTCTTCTAACCATGGTTTTACACCAGTACATGATGCGTTGAAAGATGATGCAATAAAAGACAAATATGAAGTTAAAAGTGGTAAAGATAATTTTAAAGCAATCAGAGAATTTGATTCATCGAAAAATAAAACGACCAAAAGCAATTTCGACTTTGCTAAAAACAAAGATGGACAAGATTATAAAGATTCGAAAGATTTTAAGAGCAGTAAAAGTGTTTCTTCTAAAGAAAATTCTCGTGATGCTACAGATAGTGCTGTGAAAGATAAATATGAACATAAGAGTTCAAAAGAAAAGAGTAGAGATAGCGAATCCATCAAATCATCGAAAAGTATAAAAGAAAAGAACAGTAATAAAGATACAAAATATAACAAAGATAGAAGTAATGAGAGAAAGAAATCGCGTAGTCATAGCAGTGAAAAATATGATAAACATAGTAAGAGTAAGTCTAAAGAAAAAATCGAGCAGGTGAGAGAAAATTCCGACAAAGCTAAAGATATTTCGGAAACTTTGAAAGATAACATAAACAAACTTAAAGATGAAAAGCTGAAAGAAGCAGACAAGAAAGATATTAATAAAGATAGCAATAAGGAAGCGAAAGACTTGAAAGATATCTACAAAGAGAAGATCAGAGAGCTTCGAGAAAAGAAGGAATTGACAGAGAAAGAAAAATTGAATAAAGATAAAGATATTAAAGTTACTAAAGAAGCTAAAGACAAGAAAGATCCTCTTAAAGATAAAAAATCAGAGAAGAGCAGAAAAGAGCACAGAAGTTCATCTTCGTCGTCATCATCGAAGAATATTTCTACAAGTCACGAAAGTAGAAGTAGTAAGGTAACAGATGGAAAAGATAAGAGATCAGACTCGAAAGATAAAGCAAAACGGGATGAAAAAAGATTGTCGAAAGACAATAAAGGTAAAAATCATTACAGTAGCAAGACAGATTTATCGGACAAATCTGATCCAAAAAAAGTTTCCAGAAACGAGAAGGAAGACAAAGGCGGAAAAGTGGATGCGAGAAAGGATGGCAAAACGAGCAGTGAAAGGACGACGAATGATAAGAAGGACGCGAAGAGTTACTTGCAATCGAGTAAAAGTTCGGATCGCAATGAAAAGTCAGATGGTAAGAGAGACTCGAAGAACGATAGTCCGTCAAAAGATAAGAAGCGACGAGAGGATAAGAAATCTAAGACGAAGGACGATCACTCGAGTTTACGGAAAAGTTCTAATGATCGTCGTTCCACTGATAGGGACGGTTCGAACGGCTCGAATAGTAAAACCTCGCCATCGAATAATACAAACACCAACACGACGAGCAACAAATCAGGTACGTCGAGTTTGACGAAGGAGAATAGTCACATTAGCAATTCTGGTAGCGAGACGTCGGATAGTATCGAAGAAACGCAAATGAGTGACTCAAAATCATTGCAACAGCCAAATTGTAAATTATCTCATAAAATCAGTTTGACAAATGAAAAGAATCATCTGAAGATGAAACTCGATATAGATGAAACGCATGAAAAACATGAAGAAGAAGCACATTCGCGTGATACGAGTTTATCTTCGAAGAAGAGACGGTTGTCCGGTAAAGAAGACGAATCGACTTCGGACGATATGAAAATTAAAAAGCCAAAATTTGCGAAAAATATACACGAAGCTAAAAAGCTGATGAAACTCCGGAAGCTGATGGAAAAGGAGAAACTTAAGGAGGATAAGAAAGAAGAGAAGAAAGTTACACATGAAACGGAACAAACTAGTCAGTCGAGTACAACAAAAGATGCTGACAATCTCGAAGATATGCCCGATGACGAGCGTGTTCAGATTATAGAAATTCCCGACGAGGAGTACGAAGAACCTTATCCCGAGAAGCATGAAACCAATTTAACATTAGACGAAAGATCGCTAATAATGCTAGGAGCCGAATCTTGTACAAATGACTTTTTAAATAGACAATCTAAGCCATCGTTATCCACTATAGAGTTATGCGTAAGGCAATCCTTAAGTGAGATAGTGTCGAATGTACCATTAGGAGAAACAATTACACAGAATTTAAAAACTGATGAGAAAATCATACAGTCGGAGACGCAGATAGAAGATACAGAAGAATCTAAAGAGGAACATGAAATTACAAAAGACACTGACAACAAGACATCAAATGTTGACGCAGAAAAATGTTCTTCGCAAGAGCACATTCTACAAAAGCAGGAAGAAATCGCTAATACCGAGAAATCTGAATCTGCGGATAATAATGAGAACAAAAGTACGGAACAGTCGACGGAGAAAAATCCTCAAATATGGGAAAATGAAACAGAAACACGGACCGATAATGAAGCACAAATTGACAATCGAACAGAGATCGATGATAACAATGAAGAGCCACAGAACGAGAAACAGATGGAAACTTGTGCATTATCGAAAATTAACGCGTCGTTAGAATTACATAGCGATTGTCTGGAAACCAGATCCTCGTCTTCGATTATCAGCGAGGATAATGGAGAAGATTGCCGTTACTTCAACAAGACTGACGATAAGAAATCGGAAAGGTTCTCTAGTTTCTTAGAATCTTTAGAGATAGGTTCTATGGAGAATTCGTCTCTAGAGGACATAGTGGAAAGCCTGGGTGGTAAAGTGGTTCTCTCAATACCAAAGTCCATGGCGGCACCACCTTTACCGAAAATGCGCAAATGTTCGTCCAGCCCCTTGTCCGACATATTGGTGAATAATTCGGATAATAATAATGATAACGATCATAAACGAACATTGTCAATCAGTGAAGATACCGTGCACAACGTTAAAAAGAGAAGATTCAACAAGAAGCCGAGATTCTCGAATCTATGTAATCCGCAGGGGGTTCCGAATGGCGAGAATTTCGTCATGCCTCTGAGCCCGGACAGCGATGTGTCTGCGACGAGCGAAAAAACAACATCATCTACTGTGATCAAAGAAGAAAAAAGGTACGTGTTATATGCTCTCGAGGTTCTTATGTAACGCGAAATTTTGTATATATGGGATTATCTTATTTTAATCACTCCTCAACATTTTTTTAATTTTTGATTGTATAACAAAATGCTTCAAACAAAAGTTGTTTGATTTGAAGGAGGACAGAAGATGCTGCTACAGATTTTTTAAAAGTCATTTGCTTTTCAAGGTCATTTGAAGTTCAAACTATTCATTTTTTGGTCAGCTTATTTTTATAATTTTTATGCTGAAAGTTATAAAGAATCAATTTATATAAAAACAAAATATAGTCGTTCCATTTAAAATATCCCTCTTGTTCTTTCTTTTTTCAAATCAAACAACTTTTGTTTGAAACATTTTGTTGTGCAATTAAAAATAAAAAAAATTTTTGAGTGATTGATTAAAATGGGACCTTGTATATTTTGTTGCGCTCTTTTACTCCATTGTAAACTACATATCTGTACACTCTATTCTTTAAATGCACATGTTGAATGTATCATATTAAATAAATATTTTTTTTCAAATATTACTTAAGGAGAGTTTATAATTGATCTAACGTTATCATTTTCCTTGAAATTTGCAGCCGCAATAGGAGCAGTCAACGATATTCAAGCGATGACTTGTATAAACCACGTCCGTTCTTTTCCAGTTCTTCTCGTCGAAGTAGACGAGCTAATCAAGTATAGCTAGTGCTACATGGATTCAGATGTTAAATAAACTTATATTTCAAAGTAAATTTATCCTATTGCCTAGTAATGTGAATCGCACATCAAAAATATGGTGAGTCTCTATATTTAATTTTTACTATTACTTGAATTTCACAATATTTTAAATGCGTTTTTTATTTAAAGTTCCGATCTTTAGGACATTGAAATTATTTATGTAGATACTTTTACATATGTGTTATATGTGTGTATATGATATATATACATTTATAAAGAATTACATATTTATAAAGTTAGAAAATTAATTATTACATTTATAAATTATAATCTTATAAAATTACAACCTTATTAAACTTATTAATTTATAAAGTTTATCATTTATCATTTTGACCAACATTATAGTTTGTATTACGATAAATACAAATTGTTAATGAAACTGTTAATTACCGTTCTCTAACAAAATTAATTTTTATATGTTTCGAAGTAATTAAATATCGATTTCAACTAACATCTTCCATGTAATATCTAATAGAAGAAGGTTAAAGATTATAATATTTGATATTATTGTAATAAAATTGATTACACATTGGAGAAAACATGTGTGTATTGAAAAGGGAAAATGTATGTATATATGTATGTGTATGCCTATGTGTGTATGAATATCCATAAATTCGCGTCGAATCCCATCTTAAAATTATTAATATTGTAAAAGTTTGCACACAAGTTTGATCAACTTATTTCTCTCCGAATCTTCTGCAATTAATTGGACAGAAATATTTAATTTCTACATATAATATTTAATTCTATATGTGTGTAAATTAAAAAATCTCCACACAACAAAAATCTTATTTTTTTATTTATAATATAGGCCATTATTTATGGGAATATCATACAAGATATGTATATCAGAATAATATTAAAATATACAATTACAAGTTCCTAATTTTAACAATGTATAAAAATTTAAAAAAAATTTCTGTGTACGTTACTATTATGTACACAAAAAATGTACATAACAGTATATATTTATAAGACTGCAATTTTTAGATTTGTACTCTAAAATTTTCTCTTTATAATAATACTATACAGGGTGTCCGGTAACTAACGGACCAACGATTACAAATGGATTCTTTGGTCAATTTGGGAACGATTTTTCTTCAGTGAAAATGTCGAAAAAGGTCATCATTTTTTACAACTTTCCAATATTTGTCATTATGTATCTTTATAACTAAGCCTCAAATTAAAATTTTATTATAGTAAACTCTACCTGAAATTAACTGAAGAATGTAATTATGTTAGACTTTTAACTTCAAAACGTTTAGTTTTCAAAAAACCCATTTTTTTCAATCGCTTATAACTCGAAAATTATTGACTTCTCAACATTTTTGCTAAGGAAAAATCGTCTCCAAATTGGCCAGAGAATCCGCCCTTAATCATTGGTCCGTTAATTACCGGACACTCTGTATATTATTAATTCTAAAAATAATTTTTATACATATATTCATACTTTTTTATACTCTGCAAGTAATCTAGCGCGATTCATCCTTTTCAGAAATAAAATTTTCACATCTTTGCGATATAAGCATATCATTAAAATACAAGCTGAGAATCACCTGTATTGATAAGATAAAAAAAACATTAAACAAATATCCGTAAAATATAATCTTACATTTGAATTCGAGTTATCTCACATCGTTAGAAAATTGAGATAATTGTCTCTAATATTTTTTAAATAATTATATTTGTATTCTTTTTATTGTTACTTATATATTTAACTTATATATAACATAAGCTTTGTAAAACATAATTATCTCTTTTGAAATATTTAGAAAATAAAATAATAAATAGTAATAACTAAAATTTAATAAATTCTAATTTAGATATTTATAATATAAATATTACGAAATCTCTATGGAGCAGAATATTGCGATGTTATGTCATACATATTTTTAGATTTCCTGAGAATCGCATTCTTGTTTCTGTCGGCAACTACCGGTGATATCAAATAAGTACGTAAAACGCGTGTATATATTAAAGAAATAAGTTATACTATATATTTCAGTAGGAAAATATCATGGAATATAATTTTTTCAATCTTTAATCTTTATTTATTACAACTGCATATACTATAATGATATACATTTCAAATTTATATACGCATATAAAAAATTTACGCAATTAAAATTGCTTTCAAATAAAGCGGATTTTATGTGTCCATTAATTAACATTGTATGTACACTAATACCTTCACCTATTGTTCTACATCCTATAATTATGACTGATTAACAAGTTTATGAGAGATTTACATTTGTAAATATATTACAAGTAGAAAAAGTGTGGACGCAAATTGAGATTCCGTATATGTATATCTAATTAATTTAAAAAAAGTGTTTATTAAATATGAAAATTGTTTGATAACATTCGATAGAATTTACAATTTTTAAACAATTCTTATGCGCGCAACTCAAAGTTTAAACATAAATAATATACATTTCCAAGATCAATTATACGTATATGTATACATATACGCGCACGTTTCCAAGATCATTAATAACATTGCTTATATGTATGATCGATATTATCGCGCGCTATTATTGATTCCAGAGACGTGTTTAGAGAAGTGTTACTCGAAGATATAGATATCTTTTATTATGATCAGCAGCCGCTGATCGATTCGGCTCCGGACATTGGGTCCAATAGACGATCAAGGCCATTGCGACTATGTGCGAAGATTACAGCGATTAGATGTAATAAACTGCCGTCGACATATTAGAAACTTGCCTTCCTGTCGACTCATGCCTGTTTACTTTCTGTGCACAGCCGAATAACGACATAGTTGCATCGTCGGACGACCTTGTCACTTACTTAGCCGACTCGTCGGTTGCGATTAAAAGTGCTCTACTATGCGTAATACGCAACCTTTCACATATACGTACACATTTATATATATTTACATACAGCGTGTGACGTTCAAAATATTTACAAATTAATTGAAAATTATACTCTCATCTCGTGTGGCGACCGCGCATCTTTCCCGCCTCGCATAATCTCGCTTTCCTTAAATAGATCGACCAATTATTGATGGGTTTATCGTTCGTATAATGATGCATGATAACCCTCATACGCGTTTGCATAACGCTACCCATTGTCTGCACATGCGTTCTGTTGTTTAAATAATGTAAAAATTTAACATGTAAAGAAAAACGCACCGTGCGCTTGCATATTTTTTTAGTTCATTTTACGCGCGTTAAAAGCGCGATAAAAATTTATAGAGATGACATAAAATAATACAATGTAACTTGGATATTTTAGATCGACATCACGTTAATGAAATTTATTAAATAACTCGTCGATCATTAAAGTTTTAATAAATTTGTAACGGACGTATTTATTTATTAATAATAAGCAGATAATATGATTAAATTCTTCTGTGATATTTATTCTCAGATTAGCTACTAATTTTTATTTTTCTCTTAAACAAATTTTTAATCGATTTCGAGAGAGAAATTCTTTTATCTCAATATTTAGTTGTTAAAATAATTTTTTTATTGCTATCCATAACAATTTTTGACGCTGCATTGATAATGAATAACCTGCAGTATAATTAAAATTTTACGAGTTTGCAGGATGCATGTGCGTTCGTATCGGAAGATATAAATGTAAAGCGAAACCTTGCATATTAATAGCGGTGCAACGTTTGCTAATCGTGTTTTGCTAATGAATGATTATCTCAAATTTTTTTTCTAACACAATTTGCGATTAATCTGATTTTTTTTCTATATCTTAAAAGCCTTAAGCGATTATTATATCGAAAGAAGGAAAAATAAAAGGAAAAAATATACCGACGTTTATTACGCGCATCAGCGTAAAAATATATTTGATAAAATATAATTTATGCAGCAAGAATGTATTTTTTCTGTTATTTTAGTTCTAGTTTCTGTTCAAAAGAAAAACTTAATCTTTCGTATAACAATGAAATGTTATTTCCTCATGCGATAATCGAGCTCGCGTTTTGAATAACATATGATTTCACAATCAACGAGAGGTTCCTAATGTGATCCTTTTGCTTTTCCATGTATTCAATAACAACCACGTGTATGCATTTATATATGAACATGTATAAGAGTTCACGAAGATTATATAAAAATTCAGCTGATAGTTATAAAAATTCGACTCCAATTTAGCTGTATAATTTCCCACATTTTTCTACGATCGATTAAAAATTTTCTCTTTCGCAAACCTAGAAATATTTAATTATTTATTAATTATTAAGCGCAGTATATTTGATTTAATTCGCTTTTAATATATTAATTTTTTCCGCGATGACGCAAAAGCCGATGAACAACTATCCTTGTATGACACAGCATAAAACTTGTTTATTTGTCTTGTATTGTACAAAGTATTCGATACTTTTTTATACCCAGAAAAATGCGTAAATATTTCCAGACGAATATCTTTGCACCTGGATCATAATTGCTTCGCGTAGAAAGAAATATTTAATTATTTATTAATTATTAAGTGCAGTATATTAGATTTAATTCGTTTTTAAGATATTAAAATTTTTTTTCCGCGATGACATAGAAGCCGATATTTTTTTATACCCAGAAAAATGCGTAAATATTTCCAGGCAAATCTTTAATAATTGCTTTGCGTAGAAAGCGTCGAGAAAATCCAGGTAAAACGAAAGAGAAATCTGAGCGGAGGAAAACCGCGTAGTTTCGTAATATCGTCGCGATATATGCGATATATATCGCACGTCGGAGATACGCATCTCTCTCTCTCTCTCTCTCTCATCCGAGAAAAAAATAGTCATCATCATCATCTCGTCATCATAGAGTCTAGGATGTGCGCACTCATTTGCGGCATTCTACGTGCACTCAACATCCATCGAAAATAATATATATTTTAAAGCCTTCCCGTCCCGCGGCGCGGACGCGAGCACGCACGGACCACGTGGTCGCGCACGACGCATGCGCACCGAGCACGTGCGTCTGAACCTAACCTCGCTGCTCGCAGTACACCGTCGTTCCTCGCGGGGAACGCTCGCGAAGCGAAAACGAGACGAGACGAGACAACGATTCTCGAAATTGTTGCGTCGAACATCGGAGCTGCGGTTCCGATTGATCTTGTAATTTTGACGTAACGAGGCGAATTCGAGCAGCGGAAAGGGGGGTTATTCGCTCTCTGTCGGCGGAGAAGGGGAGAGGAAGAAGAAGACGGGCGACCACCGATGAGAGCCTATACTCTACTCTCTTCTCCGGTCCCCCATTAAGAAACGATCGACGCACGCGATCACATGTCAGCGCGCGCGTAACCGGATGTTCCGCATATTTCATTCCGTCATTCACGAAACGTTCTGTTCCCTCCCGAGATTGATCAAAGTATCCGAATATATCGAACGTCGAGGCGGCAACGCAAAACGTGTTGACGGCTCGAGGTAGGAAAAAGAAGAGAGAGAGAGAGAGAGAACAGAAAGAGAGAGTGAAAAGAAGAAAGTATTGCGCGACATCGTGGCGGAGGATCATCGGAGCGAGTGACTCCCCTTCCCCGCGATCATGGATGACTACGAGAGCCTGCCGACCAACTCCGTTGCCGTCCACATGACGGCCGGCGCCCTGGCCGGGATCATGGAGCATTGCGTCATGTATCCGTTTGACAGCGTAAAGGTATAGAACTCCGCTATCAAGAGATTTTTTTTTCGCACGCGGCGCACGTTTTTTTTCTCCTCCCCCTTACATAACCTCTTCGCCACGAACCGCCGGTGGTGGAGTCATCGCCAAGTGGCGAAACTTCGCGGGACGTCGATGTTACGACACATCATCGGGAAAAATTACCATCTATCCTGTCATAAGCGCGAATTTTTCCTCCACACGCTTTCCCGGAATCGGCGCGGCGACCACTTGGCGCCAGATGCTTTATCAAAGAATTTATCTATCACAAACAAACGTGTGCGCTAGAGATAGGGAGACTTATTATTACAGAAATCTGCGATTATAGTCCTATTGTCCTGGGATATGTCGCAAAGGCATTTTTGAACAAACAGAATTTTCTCATTTGTATTTGAATGACAGGTCAGAGATTAAATGTATATATGTAGGTCTCTACTGTACACACGTTTCTTATTATTATTTCTTTCTTATAATTAATATTTCGTGTGCAACAGCTAAATATATACATAATTAGAAGTTGTGCGTAGTTGAGGGATTTGACAATAATTTAGGATTTGTATTTAATAGAGATTGTATTATTATTTATAGAAAATATTAATTCAAAATTTAGAGAGAAAGAAAATTCTTATTTTACTTTTTTCTATCAATTTAAAATTAGATAACACAATACTATTAACATACATTTCATTAACATATTCAAGTTTATTTTAAATATTCTTGTTTTTGTGTCACATACTTAAAAAAAAATTAAAAAAGAAGTATTTCATCATATATTTATATCTACATATTTTCCAAGATACAGAAATCGATGACGCAGAGATCATTTTGTTTTTACAATGTTTTTATAATACCTTTCATATGGTATTTAACGTAACCTAGCAAGTTGTTAATTTTATTCTGACTCAAAGAAGTAATACATAGACAAGAGTTGATTCTACTTTTTAGTTTAAGAATTATGACTGATACAGCTATTGTGAATATTCTTTGTTGAAACATTTCATGTTTATACATTGGGTATTATACAGCTTGTTTGATACCATAATAGTACAAAATGTTATCATACATGGAGCACTTATGACGATTAAGACAATAGTCACTTCTATCACTGGCTGGTAGAGGTAATAACACAAAGAAATGAATTGCATATTGCAAATAATATGTTATACCAGGTTCTTACTCAGAATGCAAGTGTCTACTATTCATTATGTAACACAGTTCGTCGGTCTTATTGCAGTAGGTTCTATTTCTGATCTCCTTTTCAAACTACTATTTATACTATCAATACATGCTTGCCTACTTTAACTAATATGCCAAATCTTTATTATGCAAATGGATTATCTAATGATATAGAAATGCTGTCATTTTGCTACAATGTTATGCAAAACAGATTAATATTGGATTGAAAGTAATTATGAGAGTATTCTGGAAAATAATAAATATTTTCAAACATTTAAGTTTCATCAGTTCAATTCTATTTTTCAACTTTATTTTTTGTAGTTATCGTTCTAATTGATAATCTTTTGCATTTATTATCATAGATAAAGAGTGATTATTAACTTCATATTTTTTACATTAAAATAGTTGAGAATCACTGTCGTTACTATCAGCAAGTCATCCTCTTTTTAAACCTTGACAATTAATAATAATGATTTTATAAAATAGCATTGCAATACCAAAATATTAGATGTATAGAATAAACTATGTTACATTATTAACTTTACAATTGATGATAATCTTTTTCTTTATGTATCCAGACGAGAATGCAAGCATTAATTCCTGGCCCAGGAGGAGGAGGAGGAGTGGGAGAAGTATTGTACAGAATGATACAACAAGAAGGTGTATTAAGGCCAATTAGAGGTGTGAGTGCGGTGGTTGCTGGAGCTGGACCTGCGCATGCTTTATATTTTTCTTGTTATGAGTGTCTTAAAGAAAAATTCAAGAGCTCGAGGTCCCAGTTTAATCATCTTGTCTATGGTGCGGCTGGTTGCGTGGCAACAATTTTGCATGATGGTGTCATGAATCCAGCGGAAGGTTAGTTGTATAATGATATATAAACTAATTTGATAATATGTGATATATTTCATTTAATCTAACAATGATAATATATGATATCATTATAAATAGAGGTAATTTTACAATGTAGATGCTAGATTCAATTAGTATTATCATTTAATCCATGAAGAGATATAAAGATTTTTATCTAATCATTACAAATTAAATACTATCAATTTTCTTTTTTGCACATGCAGAATTCCATGTTTAATAAAAAATATTTATAAGATAATATATAGATTATAAAAAAATACATTTAAAGATATTTAATATAATTTACAGAAATTAATCCCTTAATATCTCAAAAGATAATATGTAATAGATTAATCTTATCTTGTCTTGTTACAGTTGTGAAACAGCGATTGCAGATGTATAACTCTCCCTATAGGAATGTATTAAATTGTATACAGCATGTGTATCAGAAGGAAGGGATATTCGCATTCTACAGGAGTTATACAACTCAATTGGCTATGAATGTGCCTTTTCAAAGTATTCATTTCATTTCGTATGAATTTGTACAATCAATTACAAATCCGGAGCATCTTTACAATCCAATAGCACATATCGCATCTGGTGAGTCTATCAACTATTTGTAATATTAATTATCTATTATTATTCTGTCTTTAACAATTAATATTATTATATATCTGTGTAATCAGGTGCGGCAGCAGGCGCGATCGCGGCTGCGGCGACAACCCCCTTAGACGTTTGCAAGACAGTGTTAAACACTCAGCAGGACGGCGTGCAGGCTCAAGGCATGATGGATGCCTTTAGACAGGTCTACAGGCATGGTGGCATACAAGGATACTTCCGTGGATTACGCGCACGTGTTTTATTCCAAGCACCAGCCACTGCCATTTGTTGGGTGATGTAAGTCAATTAATTTTTTTGCGCTTTATTTTTTCTCTCTCGAGATTGTGCAACTTTCGTCAATTTTTTTTCTTTATCGTCACATCGCATAATCGTGTATTTTTAATTTGCGCGACAGATACGAGTCGTTCAAGTACGTGTTACGTGGCAAGCAAGATGACGAGTACGGTAACACGGAGGCCGACAGCGGAACGGCCGGAATTAATCAAAATCCAACAATGCTGACATCGAGATCCAACAGTTTTCAAGGAACAGGTCTGTACTTTAACAACCACGCTTCATCACCTGTATTACTCAAAGTGACTACGAGTTAGGTATATAAGAGAAATATTACACTATATTGATCGATTAAGAGAGCTGTTTCATTATCCGAAAATTGTTATAAAAAAATCTCTTCTTTTCTTTATGAGAATTAAGCGACAACGAATAATAAAGATATTTTGTTGATATTTTTGATTCCTATTATAGCAGCAAACGTAAAAAAGTCGCGAAGAGAAATAAAAATATATAATGCTAAAGAAAGACAATATTTCGCAAAAGCACAGAATATTAGTATATAATGATATATGCTAATAAACTTGTTGAATGATTGCACAAAATGCTTTGTATTGGTGTTAATAATGTCATTTTCTTTTTATTTTATTTTTTGATTCTTTTGATTATTGAACGAAAATGATTAATTTTAAGAAGCAAATTTGCAAGTGCAAAATAGGAAAAACATTATTTTATTATTCTTTATTCTTATGCTTATAATATACATACATATATCTTTTTTTTCTTATATACGGCAGAATCTGTAAGAAAATACCGCTTTGCTACTTTACATAATAACTATATAAAACAGCTTGTTCATTAGCTTTACATTAAATTTGGAAAGATGAAATAATCATTAATCGATCCTGATAAACTGGCTGCTATTCTATGTGTATCTATTCAAACAAAATGTCATCTATTGTACTGTTCACATGGAGTATTAATGACATTCAACAAAATGTTAATTTGATGTATATTAATTTTTGAGGATAAAATCTATTTGTGTGTATTATTTGTCTTCTGCTATAATTTGCACATTAATTTATAAACAAACTTATACATGCACTATTTACGATCTAATTTGTACATATTTAGCTTATACAAATAAATTTAAATATCTGGTTAAATAATTTGTTCGATCTATTGAGCCACACAGTTGAGTAATACTTTTTGTGCTTGAAAAACTTCAAGTAAATTTATATTGTAAAAATGGACCTACACTTTAGTAAATACAAAGACAATGACATGGAAAATGTTACATTACACTTTGTAGCATTCTGCAGTAGAAATCAAATGTTTTTGTAAAAAAGAAGAAAAGATATGCTCCACTTGAATAGTGAAAATAGTATAATGCAAGATTAGATTGCAGTCCACTCTAATATTGTACCATTAAGTAAATTAAGAAAAACAGTGGGATGCATGCGAGAATTTTTTCGATAATAAACTGTACTTTAGAGCATAATTAAATGCGCATAATTATAATTAATGCGGGACTTTAATTTCGCCAATATAAATACGCAAAATTAAACAACTCGTAATCATGATTAATGTAAATAATACAAAATTATTCGGTATTCAACGTTTAAAATATTCAAAGAATTATTTAAACTAATGAAATCCTGAATTAATATCGAAAATGTAACGTAACTTCGTGTTCAGACTGTAGATACGAATATGGATTGGAGTAAATTAAATTAATATAGGACATGATTGGTTACCCTAAAACTTAGAGGAATCATATGCGATGTGAAGTAATTATTTTATAGAAGATTGTAGATACAACTATATAATACATATATGTACAGTATAAAAAGAAAAAGAAAAGCCAGTGTAGAAGAAATGAAACTATTATTTGTACAAGTATGCGATTCCTCTTGATTACTCAAGTACAAATGATGAAATGCTCCTTAGTCACTTTGTAATATAAAAATGAACTATATATCTAAACCATTATACATATATATCACATACAATATTGCTTCCTATGGCTGTGATTACTGAGTCATTTGATGTTGACTTTAAGAGGGAGTAATATCATGTAAAACTCATATTTCACGCCATTTATTTATTGTTATAATTATATATATATATATATATATATATATATTATAATAATATAATATTATAATAATTATATATTTATATATAATATATTATATATTATAATAATTATATGTTATATGTATATTACATATATATATATATATATATATATATATATAATACCATGTATTGTTACTGGATAAATTGTTTAGATGTTGGAGCACAGTATTCTCATATATGACAATATGTATGTAAAAATAACGGCATTTAATTAAAAGTAAATTTCTAAAAATAACATTCATTTAAATTACAATTAATCGGAAAATTGCAAAATCTTTATTTTGCTAATTTTTCGTTTGAAACATCTTTATACGTGTGCAGAAGTGCCCATTGCACACGCATGCATGTATTTTGCATATTAATTTAAGTACACAATTATCACAGATTGTAGAATATTTTATTGAATTTATCCTTATACTTTATCCTTTATATAATTTTTATCATATAATTTTTATATTGAACATTTATCAAAATTGTTTTTATTTGAACTTCAAATAAGTGTTAATCTCTCAGGTGTATAGAATACTGATACTGTACATAATACAGTGTTACTCTAATTTATTTTTGAAACTTATTACGTATGCAAATAATACATAACTATATTATAATGTTGAATTAATCGACTTTACATTTTGTTTTTGCTAAATTTTTGTTCTTTTCAGAAACAAGAGTTGTACATAGTTGAATATATATGCTCCCACTGGTATTACAAATATACATACATAAATAATGTAGTACATACATTAAGTATATATTAAATTTATGTAACAGTAAAACGTATTATAACGCGTAATAACAATGTAAATAAACCATTCTACAAAGTATTGCAACGTATTGTTATACTTGTTGTGCCTTATCTTCTTATAAGTGTATGAAAGAGAAAAAAAACATTTGAAGATAGTAATTTTTCGAAATCTTACTTCAGAGCTATTTTCATTAAAATACTTTTTAATGTCTATGTAAATTATTTGTAATTGATTTTTTGCTTATATAATATATAAGCTTATATAAAATAGTGTGTAAATTACATAAGAGAAATATGACGAGAATTTCTGGCAATATATGTGATACTCGTTGTCAGTTAGTTCGTAATGAAATGATAAGAAAAGAAAACACGACACGAATGAAATGGTTTTTAAAGAATCAAGAACGATTGATAAGTCATTTGAAAGAGCCGAAATTTACAAAACAAGCCAAAGAAATAATAGCAGAATCTGAAAAACGAGTGAAAATTCGTGTTGATAAACCCATTGTGTGTAAAAAGTTTCATATCTGTTAATTCATAATGCTTGTAATTCATAATCTGTTTTAAATTTTGTATACACATATAGGTGCGACGCAAAGCCTTACCTCTTTGGAGGCCACCTCGATCTGATGCTTTTATCAATATAGATACCATGAAACCTGTTAATCCTAATATAAGAGACATGCTCTATGAAAAAGGAATACCGACTTTTATCACTACTAATAATTATTTAACTGAAAGGTAGGAAAGCGCCTACACAAATAACTTTATGTAAAAAGGGATTAGCTGATTTATAAAATGTTTTTAAAAATTTTCTAGATATAAGGAACCTCCAGAGAAGCGTTTCTATTTTCCTGATTCTGTGAATTGGATATACGGATGGCGCCTTGACGATTTTCCTACTGTTCCACCTAGTAATAAAAGCCTGAGATCTGTTATGTTAACACAATTTTATCAACGTAAAGTATTTAATCTGCAGCAAGATCCAGGATGGCATCGTGGTTGTCAGATAAATAAAGCAAGAAATTTCAATGAATTGTTGACATATTAAATTATTGATTAATGTGAAATTCTCATCTCAAGAGAATCATATGAATATCTCTATTTCATACAATACTATTAGAGAATACGATTAGAAAAAGAGATAATATTTTGATATCATATTTTTATATCTCGATGTTATATTTTTTTAATAAAAAATATACTCTTGCTCATAACATTTAGTGTATTTTTGTAAGCGTTAAATTTAACTTTTTTAAATTTTTCATTTTGTTTTTTATCTTTATATAATTTTTTCATGCAATTAAAATTGTCTACAAGAGATTTTTTTGTTGCAATATCAATTTTCTTAATTTGCTTATAATCTTTTTTTCTTATCTTATTTATTTATGCTATTTACAGAAAATAACTCTAATGGTAATAAGAAGTCAGCATGTTCTGGCATGGCATCAAATGCAAAATTTATAAATTTTTGAAATTCCTTGATAATAACAGTAATTTTTTCTTGAAGTATTACATTTTTATCGTGATATTCTGTAATCCTTTTCTTCATTGTGTTTATAGCATCATCTTGTATAATAATAAGTTCATGCAAAGATTTTATTTTTTCCTATATTTAAATATTTAAATAGATATAATATATAAATATTTTAATTTAAATATTTAAATGTCAAATATATTTTACACTACTTTCAAATATATACATATTTACCTTATAATGTTTATGTATCATATGCATTTCTAATTTACTATGTAATCTTTCCATGCAGAGAGTAATAATAATACTCATAACATTTTGTATTTCGAGTTCATGACGTTGAGCACACAATTCTTCTATTTCTTTTTTTCTATTTCCTTAATTGCTACATCCAATTTGATATATTGTTTTCTTTGGACGTATAAAATGTCAAATTTAATAACTTACGTTTGATGATATTACAACAAAAGATTTTTAAAACACAGTACTTATGTGTATCTGGATACCTCAGATGATTTATTGAAATCAGCAATCATTTTTTCTCTCTGTGCACATGAGATAGTTCAAGATCATCATAGAGAGATTTAATGATGTAAACATCTGGGGCTGCAACTTTCTAACACATCATGCGTGGTGTCTATTCGTGTTTTCACAACTTTTTGCAATTCTTTCTTATATTTAGCATCTGCATCCATCGACTCAATCTATTGCAATGGCACACTATTCATTACTTGTTATAATATGTCAAACAGAATAATAAGTTATCCTATGCATGTTATTTCTCAATTTGTTTACATAAACAAATATTAATTGTGTTATTTATGTACTTGTAATTGTTCCTGCAACTCTTGCTGAGCGGATTTGAAATACTCTTCGTATCTGGCATGAATTTCATCCGCATTGCATTTAATGGCGAATCTCTTTTCAGCTTCAAGCATACGACATTCGTCTGCAAACTCATTCCTCAATTTGTTCTGAGTCAACACTTCAATCTCTGTCTGAAATCTCTTCAATTCTTCTTCACCTAACGCTGAGAGGCAAATATTTATATTATTTATTAATATAAGCAGAGAGAAAAGGAGAGCGGCCAGGCCGGCGTTTTGGCTGTTACCGTTTTTACGGGACTGCTTGAAGCGCCCCTCGCACCCGTTTTTAATATCGGAACTAACTGCACACCCATTTTCTGGCAGGGTCGATAAAGTTTGTATTTGGTGCGAGTCCGTGCTACGCCCATAATTTTCGTGTTAACACAGTATCACGTATTCATTCTGTATATGTGCGATCTTTTCTCTTTATTTATATATATATATATATATATATATATGTATTTATATAATTTGTATAAAAACTAAAATATAATTATTAAAATATATATATATATCTATGTATATGTGTAATGAAATATATAAATCTTATTTTTAATTAAAATAAAGAACGATTAATTGTTCGACCACCTGGATTTTGGAATGTAATTTTTAATATATATTATATTATATTTAATATTTATCGCCGCTTCTATTAATATGAAGTGCAATGTCAACGTGCAATAATGTACAATTATTTAAAGTTTCCATGCCTAATGTATCATGCCGGTATAAAAGAACGTCAAGTAGCATGCGTAGCCGAGCAACTAAGATGACGAGCTGAAATCGTGGACATTTCAAGTTCAAACCCCTGCCTTTTTCAGATTTTTTTTTTCACTTTTTTCAAATAAGTTATTATGTGTATAAATGTGTAATAATCAATATATCATTATTTGATAATTTTTTTTGTAATGGAACAAAATAATTATTTTTTAATTCTGCAAGGAATTTAATTATTAATGCAAACGCCACACACATAATTTAGATATTCAATTTTTTTTAGTTCAAATGTTTCTTGCAATCTGTATACGACAATCAGTCCACTCGCTGTGCCACAGATTGCATCGCATAATACGCTCAGAGTTATAATACGATAGAGATCGCTTTACGCTGTTTTTCCTTGAAATAAAAAATTTTACGTGTTGTGTACGCGTGTTTAGTATATTTGTTTCTTTCATATTAATTTAACTATAATTAGTTTTTTATTAAGATTATTTTAGTGTTAGTTTTTATTTGTTAGTGTCCTGTTTTCTTTAATTTCGCATTTTTTAATTTTCTTTTTTTTTTTGGTGTTGGTGCTAATTATTATTTTTATTTTACAATGTCGAGTAAACACCGGTTTTACGATAAATGTGTGTATTTAAATTGCACAAATATTAGGACAAAAGATGGAAAACGTTTATTTTCGATTTCCATTACAAACGGGTGCGAGACATGATTTATGGTTACGCAATATTGGTGAGTTTATAAAATTGATTTACTTATTTATATCAATATATAATATATATTGATATGATATATGAACAAATATATATATATATATTCTTTTGTTTTTTTTAATAAATATGTCAGATATTATGTATGTTTACGTATGGATTACGTTGAAGTGTTTCTTGCCGCGTTTTTCTCTGATCTCGCCGAACGGTTCGCGAATCCTGTGCGAATAAAAAACGATGCGCGTGTGTGTGTGCGTGCGATTGTGATGATCAGTTTCAGTTCGTCTTCAACGCTTGACGAGAGAAGAGGTCCCGAACTGCTGTAAGTTTATAAAAACATATTTTTGTATAACACATTAGAACGATTTTATATTATTTTTTTTTGTCTAGAAAACGTTATATTAATAACCGTTATGAAAACGATCTCGACGACGGTCGTCACCGGCATCGTCGCCGTCGTCGAGATCGTTTTCATAACGGTTATTAATATAACGTTTCTAGACAAAAAAATAATATAAAATCGTTCTAATGTGTTATACAAAAATATGTTTTTATAAACTTACAGCAGTTCGGGACCTCTTCTCTCGTCAAGCGTTGAAGACGAACTGAAACTGATCATCACAATCGCACGCACACACACACGCGCATCGTTTTTTATTCGCACAGGATTCGCGAACCGTTCGGCGAGATCAGAAAAACGCGGCAAAGAAACACTTCAACGTAATCCATACGTAACATACATAATATCTGACATATTTTATTAAAAAAAACAAAGAATATATATATATATTTGTTTCATATATCATATCAATATATATTATATATTGATATAAATAAGTAAATCAATTTTATAAACTCACCACTATTGCGTAACCATAAATCATGTCTCGCACCCGTTTGTAATGGAAATCGAAATAAACGTTTTCCATCTTTTGTCCTAATATTTGTGCAATTTAAATACACACATTTATCGTAAACCGGTGTTTACTCGACATTGTAAAATAAAAATAATAATTAGCACCAACACCAAAAAAAAAGAAAATTAAAAAATGCGAAATTAAAGAAAACAGGACACTAACAAATAAACAACTAACACTAAAATAATCTTAATTAAAAAACTAATTATAGTTAAAATTAATATGAAAGAAACAAATATACTAAACACGCGTACACAACACGTAAAATTTATTTATTTCAAGGAAAAACAGCGTAAAGCGATCTCTATCGTATTATAACTCTGAGCGTATTATGCGATGCAATCTGTGGCACAGCGAGTGGACTGATTGTCGTATACAGATTGCAAGAAACATTTGAACTAAAAAAAATTGAATATCTAAATTATGTGTGTGGGCGTTTGCATTAATAATTAAATTCCTTGCAGAATTAAAAAATAATTTATTTTGTTCCATTACAAAAAAATTATCAAATAATGATATATTGATTATTACACATTTATACACATAATAACTTATTTGAAAAAAGTGAAAAAAAAATCTGAAAAAGGCAGGGGTTTGAACTTGAAATGTCCACGATTTCAGCTCGTCATCTTAGTTGCTCGGCTACGCATGCTACTTGACGTCCTTTTATACCGGCATGATACATTAGGCATGGAAACTTTAAATAATTGTACATTATTGCACGTTGACATTGCACTTCATATTAATAGAAGCGGCGATAAATATTAAATATAATATAATATATATTAAAAATTACATTCCAAAATCCAGGTGGTCGAACAATTAATCGTTCTTTTTATTTTAATTAAAATAAGATTTATATATTTCATTACACATATACATATATATATATATTTTAATAATTATATTTTAGTTTTTATACAAATTATATAAATACATATATATATATATATATATATATATATATAAATAAAGAGAAAAGATCGCACATATACAGAATGAATACGTGATACTGTGTTAACACGAAATTATGGGCGTAGCACGGACTCGCACCAAATACAAACTTTATCGACCCTGCCAGAAAATGGGTGTGCAGTTAGTTCCGATATTAAAAACGGGTGCGAGGGGCGCTTCAAGCAGTCCCGTAAAACGGTAACAGCCAAAACGCCGGCCTGGCCGCTCTCATCTTTCTCTCTGATATAAGCATATATGAGATACATATATGTGAATTATATTGTGACTTTCTACGCAAATTCATCAAATCTTAATACTTAAAATATCATGATGTATGTTTGATTTAAGAATGTCCTGTTTTTCTAACACCATTTGAATGGCATCTGGTTTTAATTGATCATTCTGTGTTCTGCAATATGATTGTTGTAGGATTCTCGCAGACTGTATCGAATCTAATTGTTTTATCATTTCACAATGACTGTAGTTGAAGAGAATTTGTGCCAATGAAGTACCAAGACATTGTTGAATCTCTAATCTTGTTGGAATATCATTTTTCTTAACACATTTTAACTTGTGAAATTTGTGAGTATGAACTGTGTATAAAAATATTTTTATAGGAATATTTTTTATAT